TGCCTGCCCAGAAGAACAAGGGAAGAACAAGGGCTTAGTCGTCCACAATAAAAGCAGGATTCTTGTACTACACTATTCCGTAACAAACTAACAAGTGGTCTTCAAAACAAAATTCTAATTTTGACGAATAACAATTTTTCATTCAGGAGATCCTGCTTTTCAGTTTTTAGTTTTCGCGTTACTTGATTGCACACGCACAGGTCAGTCTCTCTCCTCTAATTTCGAAAATTCATCCATCAATTTCATCGTAAATTCCAATTTTATGTTAATTTTCTTTGAATAATGTCCTTTGCATATCTGATTATTGTTATATATTTATCATTATTAACATTTGGATTTGAGTAATTTGCGATCAAAATTTTCTGAATTTGTTATATTGTTAAATAATTATGTTATTTTGTGTTTGAGGTAATATTGTTCGATTCATAATTAAATTGTTTTCTTGGAGTTTTTTCGGTTTATATACTGATGACGAATTAATGAATTATGGTTGAAGTTAGCTAATTTTGCGATAAAAAGGTTTATTGTAATTGATTAATTGAAATAAAATATTTGTTAAATGTAATTGACTAATGCATAGGAATAGATTTGAACTTTATTATCTGTGGAATGAAAATGGGTTATGCAATGCACAATCTCAAATCAAGAATTTAATTAGTAGGAGTAGTTTGCCAATGAGCTATTTATGCTAGTGATTTTTAGCACTCTAATTATTCGAATACTCGCTTCATCTCTAAAAGTTCTTCATGTTCCAATGCAAGGATTTCTCTAATTACACATAAATTAAAATTAAGAAACTTTGACACGAATCAAACAAGACCCACGAGACTATAAATTTTCTTATTATTAAATTATAATAGGAATAATTTAGAAGATTCTTTCAAATTGTGCATAGTTGCAAGATTCTAAATGGCTAGAACTTTTTGATACAGAGAGAGTAGCTTATATTGGCATTTGGCAACCCGACTATATCGCAATCTATGTTTCTTTTCTTTTTTATTGGATGAAAGAAACTGATGCTGTTTTGAATAAGAGAAGTTGCTAAAATTTCGTTTGAAATGAAAGAAAATCAGTATATTTTTATATGGAGCATATGTGAATTCAGTGTATGACAACCTGCTATACATTAAGCATGATTGTCTTTGTAGCATTCGGGATTTTAAAGTAATGACCCTTACTGCTACTTTTGCTAATCTAATTAGCAACTCGAATATTCAACTTCTACCGTTGTAGGCCTATATATCACTAGTCATGAGTTTGTGGATCAAACTACTATTTTGTACTAAGTTATGAATATTAACTGCATCAAATGACTGGTCAGGCAATTTTGAAGGAGTGTATTGCGAGGGATCATTAGAATTACTTTTATTCTTGTAATGAATCGTTTGGATGAGAGTTACAAGGATAGGGTAAAGGCACTTTGGCGAGCTATCTGTGCAACAAAATTTGTAAACGATGACAATGAACCGTGTCAAATTGAAGAGGTAACATTCATGATTCATGATTCATTTTACTGAACTTGCTTCTTGTGATAAAGATTTCTAAAATGTTGGATTCAATTAAATTTATTCTTACGGTGTTTTCTAGGGTCTCTTCGTGGGGTCTGCTGCAGCAGCAAATAACAAAGCTGCATTGAAACAGCATAATATTACTCACATCTTGACTGTGGCTGGTTATATTCGTCCTGCTCATCGACGAGACTTCACGTATAAAATCATTGAAGGTAATTTCCCCCCAGAAAATTCGTCTAAGTTTAAGGACACTGTAGCCTGTAGCTCAGTACCTGCATAATTGCATACATTGCTGCATGGAATAGAAATTACACTATGTATTGTTATCTTTTGCTACTGAAGCCAAAAGAAAGCAATTTAAGATAAAGGTTGCATTGCTTCTCCTTTAACTTAGACAAATTTAGATGAGATGTTCTAATCGCTGCTGCATTAAGCCGAATGCCTTGCTTTGATCTATTTATAGTGGAGAAAAAAAAAAACGATATCACTGGTGACTAGAGCAGATCATTGCTTCATGACTTTTGCTAAGGGTATGGAAATTGAAGGTCCTCAGACTTCCAGGTGTATCTGATTTTCATGGAAGCTGTTAATAAATCTCACCAATATGACCTTTTGGATTTTTGATACCCATGTATCTAACTTGAATTTGATGTTCCTTGATTCAACTTTAAGTAAAATTCTTAGATACTTGCAAATCATCCCTCTGTATCCTATAGATTGCTATGTAACTTAAGCTTCTCATTTCCAATTATGTTATTGTTTGTTCAAATTGTTCCTTAGATTAGCTTTGTGTCTCATCCAAAATTGCTTTCATGTATATTAAGATCTTTCTTTTTATAAATTATGCTGATGTAAGGTCGGAATATTAATGTCCCATATGCTAATATCTTTGAATTTTATTTGCATAATGATCTCGTTGTCTTACCTTTTCTTTGAATTTGGTATTGAGGCAGTGGTGGACACAGTATGGACTGATCTTGCTCAGTACTTCGATGAATGTATTGATTTCATTGATGAAGCTAAAAGGTCAGGTGGTGGAGTATTGGTTCACTGCTTTGCAGGGAAATCCAGAAGGTAGGCTAAATCGCATGTTTTTCAGTATTGAAACTGATTGTTGAAATCAGGTGTCATACAAGAGTAATGGTTTCGTTTTTTTTTTTTTTTCAAATCCGGACGGTTGATCTAAACACATGCGTAGAATGGAACTGAGTACAGAGTATGATAAGGAAAAAAAAAAAAATTTAAACCAAAAAAAAAAAAAGAAAAAAAAGAAAAAAAGAAAAAAGAAAAAAAAAAGTGATTTAAATGACAAGCTGTTTCATTACATATTGAAAAATATCCCCTAGAACTATAAATGAGTGCAACATTTTAAGTCTTGTTCAGTCAGGTTGTTATCATGCTATGTTGCTATATCAAATTGTAATTGGAGGGAGGAGGGCTTCATGTTTCAGATCTTGTGACCATGTGATCTGAAAGTGGAATTAATAGTATTTCTTTCTTTCTTGATGCCATGTAGTGTGACTATTATTCTTGCGTATCTGATCAAAAAGCACGGCATGACTCTATCTCAAGCTCTTGAATACGTGAGAAGCAAAAGGCGACAAGCATCACCTAATGCCGGCTTCTTACAGCAACTCCAGAAGTATGAACAATCACTACAAGGTATGTAGTTCGTGCTTGTTTTTATGTTCCCGTTTGCTTTGTTTCAATCTGGACCATCTCTTCTTCCTCCCTTTTCAGTTTTCGAGACTTAAGGTTCAGTTAGTCAGGTGGGCCAACATCTCCCCCTCGTATTTTTTATACAATTTGAAAAGCATTGTTTGTCAAATTCCTTGGCAAGGACATATAGGGATGCTACATTTTCCATTGCAAGTTGTTTCTACAAAAGAATTCCAGGATCTGAGTTGTGAGAGAGCCTGCTTGCCTGGTTAAATCGAGTCCTGCAAAACAATGAAAGTCAATTGCCTCGGGGGGTGTTCTCGAGAAAAGCCCATTTGATGGTCAAGTAAGTCAAATGTGTTTAGAGAGAAAGTTTGGAGGGAGAGAGAGTGGAAAAAATTAATTACCTCGTTAATCTGTGTAGATTAGTATTTATAGGAGAGGATTAACTAACTTGATTAGGGTTAGGATTAGGGTTCCTGGCCATTCTAGGCCTAAGTTGGGCCATATTAGGGTTTCTCAGGATGCGTACTGGGCATGATTATGGAATTTTCCTGTTTAGGGATTAGGTGAGGGCATTTTGGTAATTTTCGTATTTAATGAACATGGGCCCACAGGGGTCCAAACATTAGCCCCACGACAAAGTCGTAAAGTGCACTCCGCGGTTTTGGAGTTTGTCGGTGTTTCTGCAAAAGAATTTCGGATCGGAGTTGTAGGGGAGCCTGCTCGTCTGGTCAAACCGAGTCCTGCAAAACAATGAAAGTCAACTGCCTCGGGGGGTGTTTACGAGAAAGCCCCTCCGATGGTCAAGTTAGTAAACTGTGTTTAGAGAGAGAATGTGTGGAAAATTAATTACCTCGCTAATATGTGAAGATTAGCATTTATAGGAGAGGATTAACTAACTTGATTAGGGTTAGGATTAGGGTTTCTGGCCGTTCTGGGCCGTGTTAGGCCCCGTTGGGCTATATTAGGGTTTCTCGGGATGCGTGTTGTGCATGATGATTGAATTTTCCTGTTTGGGGTTTACCTAAGGGCATTTTGGTAATTTCTGTATTTAATGAACGTGGGCCCACAAGGGGTCCAAATATTAGCCCCACGACAAAGTCGTAAAGCGCACTCTGCGGTTTGGGAGTTTGTCGGAAAAATATTGATCGAATGAAATCAATTGACCCGGTGACATTGGCTGTATTTAAGTCATGTCTTCATAACAGGTTTTTTTTTTTTTTTTTTTTTTTTTGGGTAGTCGAGCACACTTGATGGGCGCTGATGCTGCCTGGCGGGCAGCTTGCTGGTGCTGGGCGCTGATGTGCTGCTGCTGGGCGCTGATGCTGCCTGGACGCAGCTAGCTGCTGCTGGGCACTAATGCTGCCTGGCACGCAGCTTGCTGCCGGGCGCTGATGCTACCTGACACGCAGATAGCTGCTGCTGGGCGCTGATGCTGCTTGGCACGCAGCTTGTTGCTGGGTGCTGATGCTGCCTGGCACGCAGCTTAATGCTGCTGGGCGCTGATGTTGCCTGGCACGCAGCTTGCTGCTGCAGGGCGCTGATGCTGCCTGGCAGGCAGCTAGCTGGTGCTGGGCGCTAATGCTGGCAGCTAGCTGGTGGGCGCTTATGCTGCTTGGAAGTTTTCTTTTGGGCGCAGCTGGGCGCTGATGCCTAGCATGCTTGGTGGGCGCTGATGCCTAGCATGCTTGGTGGGCGCTGATGCCTAGCATGCTTGCTGGGCACCAGCTCGCACCAACACACGTTAGGCCTAGCCTTAGCTTGGAGGGGCGGCGATTTTGACTTAGTCCAACCCATGTTGGGCGATAATCTTCTTGTGCATTGTAGCCCCTTATCTTTATGAGCGATGATTGAACCCTCGGCCAATGGCTTCGGACTTTTTTGATTGCGTTTGCACGTCTTTCCAACTCATAAAAGAGGTCATTTTGGCGCTCGGGTGTCATGTGGGTGATGGAGTGTCTCGGGAACTATATATTATTTTTAAGAATGCTTAAAAATGACCCATCTCGTCACCCACGGAAAGCAATGTTGTCCGTTACTTAGTAAATTTTGACGAATACTTCGGGAGGCCATAACTTGGTCCCCGGGTCTCTGAATTATACAAACTTTTTTTTAACTTGTGTATTTTTTCGAGCTCTACGTGGTGTCGAAGTTCCAAAGGAGCTTTGGCCCACTGGAATTGCGAAAAAAGGCCTCTAGCATGGTGAAAATGCCATTTTTCCGATTACGGTCTCATTTTTTGGCCTACCTTGGAACGGTACGGGCTTGGACCACCCCATAATGAGCCCCTATGACGGGCGATGATATAATTGATGCTTTCTAAGAGTCCCTTGGGGGGCGATGATAAGTATACATACTCTTCTGCATGAGTAACAAGTGTCTGTGACACCCTTCCCTTGCATGAGTAACAAGTGTCTGTGACACCCTTCATTCGCATGAGTAACAAGTGTCCTTTGGCTCATTTTTCGAGGCAAATGTTTCTCTTTAGATAGCCACATAAACACACATTTCTCATTCACAATTTCATTCTCAAAAGATTTCTAGTGAGAGAAAGTAATGATAAAAGTTAGTGAGAGAAAGCGTTTGCAACACTGTTTGGCGGAAGGAAGCTTGTGCGCTCTTGTTCGGAGGTAGTCGAGGCGGTGATCGTGGTTTAGAATCAGCAGGAGCTTCATTTAGTTGTAAGACACTACACTTTAAGGTACGCCTTTGTTCTTTTATGCTTTCTTTCTTTAATGGCATCATCGTCAAGTTCCTCTAGCATTAGACAACCATGGTGGGTTGAACAAGGTGAACCCGCCGTGGAAGTAGCACAAGATTGTTCTGCTACCTCCGGTATCCCCTATGCCGATGTGTTGCCGGATTTCCCTGGCGGGTCTCCGTACTCGTCTTATGAGGAGGACTATGGTCCGGGTGAGGTGATTGTGGCCTTCTCAGAGGGAGATGGTTTATTTAATAAGCACCTTGTGAATGGTGTAGTTATAGTGATGGAGGCTGCCGAAGACCAGGACAATGAAGAACGCAATTACCAGGGCAACGCGCAGCCACTTGGGGGAGGCCTGCAAGCCTATGGGTTGAGGGCGGTGTTTCAAGAAAATATCTGCCTAGGCCAAATCTCACGGTCCATGATTGAGAAGTATGGTGTAACCGACCAATACGTGGGGTATGCTCCTGAAGATGGGGACACTCCCACGACTCCACCTTCGGGGTGTACCGCTGTATATTGGGGTTTACTGAAGCAGGGAATGCGCTTTCCCCTTCACCCTTTTCTCAGGACTTTGTTACGGGAGTACAACTTAGCCATTTGCAATTTGACGCCTAACTCTTGGCTAAAAGTGTACTCTTTTTTGGTGGTTTGTACCATGATAGGGCAAACTCCAACTTTAAGGCTTTGGAGAAACTTGTTCAAATTGATACCCTCCAAGGATTCAAATTTCGGTCCTGGCTGGTGGGCCTTTCGCATCCGCAATGGTTACAAAGTGGTGCACGACCAACAATCAAACGTCAAACACTGGCGTGGCCAGTTTACGTTTGTTTACAGTCGTACTTGGGACATCCCATTGATCCCGAATTTAGGGGAACCCAATTTGAGTTTAAATTTCGACGTTCCACCCATAAACAGGAAGGAAGCTGTAGTTGCCCTTTTGTTGGAAACTAAGGGTCTCGTGGTCAATGGCGACGCTGTTCAATTACCCATGAATTGGATACCTAACCGAGCCTTTCTAGAGGATGAAAAGAAGCTTTGTACAATTGGCCTTGGCTTCCGCTCAAAGGGTATGCTAAAAGGGGGTCTTCCGCACGCATTATAATTATAGGTATCTTTGTGTTGCTGTTCTAACTTTTTCCTACTTCTGTGCAGGATTCATGGATTCGGAAGCATTGAAAACTCAGAAAGCCCTTGCCTTGCAAGCTGCCGCGGTGAGGAAGTTACTAAAGAACGAAACCAGGGAGATACCTCCCCTACCCTTGGTAAGTTATCTTTGTTGACTTTGAATGCATTTAATGGTTTGAATCTCACTGATCTGTCATTTTTGTAGAGGACCCAGGGGAAAGTTACCTCAGCCCCGGTGGAGATACCAGGGCAAAGCTCTAGTACGGCTCCTGAAGATTACCAAGCTCAGCCTTCAACAATGCTAGAAGGCAATGACCAGATGGTGCCATCCCCTCAGCAGATGGTGTCATCCCCTCCGCGCCTGTCAAGCCCTAAAAGAAATAGGCGCAATGACGGGAGTGACTCATCTAGTAGGGCCTCGTTTTGGGACCTCGATGGCTCGGGAAAGAGGCGCATGCTGAGTTGGCATTAGGTCACCTTTATTCGACTGTTGATGCGGACCACTTTAAAGGCTTGGATCACGAGAAAGAATTTAAGATCATGCAGCAATCATGGGCTGAGGTTTGTAACCTTCTTTTTCCTTATTGTTACTTTCACTGTTGTACCGTGATTAATACGCCCTTACTTCATCATCTTCAGTATTCGGTACGGGTCGCCGCATTTGCACAGCGAGGGCTTATGGTCACAGGCTTAGCTAAGGAAAATTATGCACTTATGCAAGAAGTCAATTCGCTTAAGGTGCAAGTTGCCAACCTACGGTCGCAGCTCGAAGAGATGACGAGGCTTAAGAAAACAACTATCACGAAGAAGTTCCGGCTCAGAAAAGAAAAGAATCAGGCCAAGGAACAGTTGAAGACGGCTCTAGAGGAGTTGGAGTTTGCAAAGGAAAAGTTGGCCAATGTTGAGGAGCAATTGAAGGTGACTGGTGCTACTCAACAAGAGATAGCGAAGGCTTGGCTCTAAACAACAGACGGCCGGGCCCACCTTGAAGAAGAGTGCGTCGAAGCTAACGAGTTAGGGCAAGAAACGGGAGTCCGTCGCCTACAGGCTGCCTTTGAACTTGTTCACCCTGATCTTTAGTTCGAGCCTCTCTATGGCAAGTACCAAGAAATCCTCAAGAACGAGCTTGATGAGATGATGAAGAATTTCTCGCTCTATGATGAGGGCCAAGGTAGTCAAGCCCAAGAGCATCAAGCAACTGTTGATCAATGCCCCTTGGGCAATCATCGATATCATGTGCTGAAAAAGGGTGGTTCTAAGGATGATGCTTCCGAGGATGATGCTTCTAGCTCTCATTCTCGTCATGACTAGTTTCCTTTTTATTGGTTTTCCTTGTTTTTGTATTCCTTTATCTTGAAGTAGACTTGTATTTAAAGCAACATCAATGAAGAAACAGATTGTTCTGGCTCACTTATGTTTACTTGTATTTATTATGTTTGATGCCCTTTGGGGCAGCCAAGCCCCTTGGGTGGACGATATATGTTTGGTGCCCCTTGGGGCTACTGAGCCTCTTGGATGGGCGATAATGTGTTTAATGCCCCTTAGGGCTTATGAGCCCCTTGGATGGGCGATGACGTGTTTGGTGCCCCTTGGGGCTAATGAGCCCCTTGGATGGGCGATGACGTGTTTGGTGCCCTTTGGGGCTAATGAGCCCCTTGAATAGGCGATGATGTGTTTGGTGCCCTCTGGGGCTAATGAGCCCCTTGGTTGGGAAATGATGTGTTTGGTGCCCTTTCGGGCTAATGAGCCCCTTGGATGGGCGATGATGGTAAACTTGTAGCTTAGTGGTAAAATGGAAATGAAAATTTCGAATGGAAAATATGAAGTTTGCTATTAATGGAAATTGATTACTATTGTGGCAACAAATGCACCTATTCTATGACCAAACGTCTTACAATGATGAAATGTTCACATAACCTTTATATGTAGTACCCATGCCCCCATTACATCGTGTAAGTGTTGGAATACTGAACAATATGAATTTAAACATAAAACCTTCCGAGGTTCTCCGCGTTCCATGGCCTTTCTAAGGCTCTGCCTTCGGGAGACTCTAGGCGAAAGGTCCCGTTTGCAACTTGTTCTGTGACCTTATTGGGCCCTTCCCAATTGGGCGATAACTTTCCTAACTCGGGCTTGCGGCCTGTGGCCTCTATATTGCGTAGCACCCAATCTCCTACTCTGATCTGCTTCTCCTTGACCCTTCTATTGAAGTGACGGGTCATTTTCTGTTTTTGTGCGATTGTTCTTACTAGGGGGTTGCCCCTTATTTCAGGCAATAGATCTAAATCCATGCTTTTGTTTTCTTCATTCACCTATGATCGTAGATTGTGATCCTGGGCGATGGAATCCCTTTTTCGACTGGTAGTACAGCCTCGCTGCCATAAACAAGGGCAAACGGGGTTTGGCCCGTTGCCTCTTTCGGAGTTGTTCTAGCTGACCATAGAACACTTGGTAGGTCATCAACCCATGACCCCTTGGCCCCTTCCAACATAGTTTGTAGGCTGTGGAGTATGATTTTGTTTGTAGCCTCAGCTAGGCCATTCGCTTGAGGGTGAGATACAACACTATAGTTTATGTGTATTCCAAACCTCTCGCAATACTCAACAGTCGGTCGACTATAGAATTGTCTCCCATTGTCTAATACGAGACTTTTGGGCACGCCAAACCTTGTGATGATGTTACGCCATATGAACTTTTGAATTTTCTTATCAGTGATTGAGGCTAGGGGTTCGGCCTCGATCCACTTAGTGAAGTAATCTATGGCGACCATGAGGAATCTTCTCTGCCCCGAATCTGCTGGGAATGGTCCAAGCAAATCCAAGCCCCACTTGTCAAATGGTAGGGTGGCGATGATTGTTTGCAACGGGCTCGAGGGGAGCCTTTGCACATTGGCGAACTTCTGACACTTGTCGCACTTTTGCACTAATTTGGTCGCATCCTCCCTTAGGGTAGGCCAATAAAACTCTGCCCTTAGTGCTTTGCCTGCTATGCATCGAGCCCCTTGATGACTTCCACAAGCTCCTTGGAGTATTTCTCGTAGCACGTAATCTCTATCTTCTTGGGTGATGCACTTGAGGAGGGGATGAGTGTACGACTTCTTGTATAGGTTTCCTTCATGCCAAACGAACCATTCTGCTCGTTTCTTAATTGTTTCGGCCTCTTTAGGATCTTCTAGGAGTTTGTTGTCTCGCATGTAGTGCACTATTTGATCCATCCAAGTATCTGACCGGTCCAAGTAGTGAACTGTAGGTGCATTGATGCTTGGCTGTTTGAGAACTTCCCATATTATAGAGCGAGGGCCGAGCCCTTGGGCGGAACTAGCCATTCGTGTAAGGGCATCAGCTTGTTGGTTATCTGCCCTTGGAAGATGCTTGATCTGAAATTCGGACAACGGCGAAGCAGTTTCTCTGACCTTGTTGAGATACATGCGCATGCTATCTTCCTTGGCTTCGAATTCCCCTTGGACTTGGCTCACGATCAATTGGGAGTCAGAGAAGGCATGAACTGCCATGGCTCCCGCCACCTGGCACAACTCTAACCCCAAGATGAGGGCCTCATATTCTGCCTCATTGTTTGAGGCGTTGAAGTCGAACTTGACTACATACTCGAACTTTTCGCTGCTCGGTGACATGATCAAAATGTCGGCCCCGCTTCCTGCCTTGGAGGAGGAGCCATCTACATATAATTGCCATGGCTTGGATCCATCATCATCAGGGTGATGAGTGCATTCGGCGATGAAGTCTGCTAAAGCTTGTGGGCTCATACTCAAGACCGAAATCTGCAAGCTGGTCTGCCCAATCTGTCATTCTATTTGAGTGGTTCCTACCTTCGATTGCCTTCTTTATAGGATGGCTAGTCAAAACTTTGATGGGGTGAGACAGAAAGTATGGCTTCAGCTTTCGGCTTGCCATGACTAGGGCGAACACCAACTTCTCAATTTGGGAATACTTTGACTCCGCTCCTCTGTAAGCATGGCTCACCAAATATACTGGGTGTTGTGATCTATCCCTCTCGGCAACCAACACCGCGCTAGAAGAGTATTCTGATATAGCCAAATATAAGAACAATGTCTCCCCTGACAGAGGGGAAACCAACTTGGGAAGAGAGGCCAAGTGTTCTTTTAGCTGTCGGAAGGCGATCTCGGCTGCTGCGTCCCATTGGAACACTTTTCTCTTGAGGGTGTTGAAAAAAGATAAGCTCTTGTTTGCCGACTTTGAAAGAAACCTGCCAAGGCGGCTATGCATCCGGTCAGCCTCTGCAACTCCTTTACACTTCTAGGGGTCTGCATATCTAGGATGGCTCTGATTTCGTCGGGGTTAGCTTCAATGCCCCTCTCATCAACAAGGAAGCCAAGGCATTTGCCTCCCTTGACTCCAAACACACACTTTCTAGGATTTAACTTCATCCCATATTTTCTCAATGTCGCAAGCGTTTCGACCAAGTCTGTGACACGGTCCTTCTTGTGGCGACTCTTTACTATCATGTCATCAACGTAGGCTTCGACGTTTCTACCTAATTTCCCTTAGAAGATTTTGTTGATGAAACTCTGGTATGTGGCTCCAGCATTTTTAAGGCTGAAAGGCATGACCTTGTAACAATATACTCCTTGGTTAGTGATGAACGCGGTATGTGGCTGGTCCTCTTCTGCCATGGGGATTTGATGATATCCTGCGTTTGCATCCATGAAGCTGAATAGAGCATGTCCAACCGTTGAATCCACAAGCTTGTCTATCTTAGGGAGAGGATGGTCATCTTTGGGGCACGCCTTGTTTAAGTCAGTGAATTCGACACACATCCTCCATGCCCCTGAGGGTTTCTTGACCAACACAACATTCACAAGCCAATCCGTATACTGGCATTCTTTAATGAACCCTGCTTCGAGTAGCTTTTTTTACCTCTGCTGTAGCTGCTGCGGTGCGCTCGGAGCCCTGATGCCTCAAATTTTATTTAACAGGCTTGTAGCCTGGCTTGATGTTCAAGCGGTGAGTCATAATGGCAGGGTCTATGTCGGGCATCTCGTCTACTGAGTAGGCAAAGAAATCACAATGTGCCTTAAGCACATTGATTATTTGAGTGCGCAATGCAGCGTCGATATTTTTTCTGACCCGCACCGTTTCTTCTGTGGTGCCAATGACTTCTTCCTTATCTTCTTCTATGGACTGGGGTTTGTCTATTCCCCTCAATTCTTCAGTGAAAAGGACGGAAGGGTCGGTTATTTTGTTCTTCTTCGATGGTTCAGTGGGTGCTGCTGATGCTCGCTTCAAGCTATTGACGTAGCATTCTCTAGTAGATCCTTGGTCTCCATATACTTTCCCAACTGTTCCATCTTCAAGCTCGAATTGCATGAGCAGCTGATAGACTGATATGGCTACCTTTACCTTGTTCAATAACGGTCGTTCGAGTATGACATTGTAGGGACAGGGTGTGTCCACCACCAAAAAGTGGGTAATCACCGATCTACCCTTCCCTTTGGGTCCAAGTCGAACTGGTAAACG